ACATTTTGGTCCAACATATATTAATCAAAATATTGCCAATCATTTTCTAAAACATTTTCCCATCTTCCTAAAAACATGGCAATAACCTATCGAAGGCAGCGATTCTGTCATCGATTCACTTTCGCACTTCTTCGGCATTTCCAACCCCATTTCCATGCAAGCCACGCTCCATCGTTCTGGACAAGTTATAATCAGAAGCCGCTATATCAAATCGCCCCAATCGACTTGCGACAGTGTACCGTTGACAGCTTTGCAGTGTGTGGCCGAGCGTTTTCATGCAAGAGTGTAACTTTGCATGTATTAACCACCATTGCTGGTTCAATTTGTACAATTAGTGTCGGTAGACATCTGCAGTAACAGTTTCGTTCGCTTTTGGCAGTTCATAATACACTTGCTGATCCCACCATATGCACAGCAATACTTTATTTCCATGAATATTCCGCTTCCGTGTTGATGTGGATGGCTTTTCTGAACTAATCCATGATCGTTTGCGCTTAGGATTGTCGTAGTAGATCCACTTTTCATCGGCCGTCAAAATTTCTGATTTCACTGACTCTAACAGAGAGACACGCATGTATATATGAGTAAATGGAGATCGACCTTATCGTTCATACTTATGAAGCATACATTGAGTATATATATTTTATGAGTTCTCGGGTGAACATTGCTATATCATTTGGAAACATTCGACAAAACTATTGTTATTATTGTTATTATTATAAATGATTTAGACGATAGAAATAATTTCTAGTACTAAGGAACGTAGAAATAATTTCTAGTACTAAGGAAATAGTATGATCGTTAACAAACAAATCTAACGGTTCAAATTAACATATGGTTTATGGTTAGATTAAAAAAAAAAAGGAAAAAAAAGCAGATAAAACTACATTTGTTGTGTCTATGAGTTACGAATTCATCTATGTGCGTGATTTTCCTAAAAACTATAAAAATTTCATTAACTAAATTTGATCATATACAATAAAAATATAGACTTGACTATTCGGTTGCGAACTATAAACGGTTACATATATTGAATGATAATCGAATACCTATAATGTCTCGTAAGCGATAAGACAACATTTCTTATAATTAAATGATAGAATAAAGCCGTCAAGATTACAGCCACTTCAGTTTGATAAGTGTGGTTCATTTTATAACCTCCTATTGTAATTCTCAATAAACAGGTATACGCAACAAATGCTGCAGTCATAATTAATCCTAAACAAAGATTTAAAAAAATCTATTCTTCATGGTTCATTTGTGACTTATAAATTTTAATGGATTTTTAAAAGTCTCATTACGCTGAATAGTTTGCAATATAAGCGACGTGACAAAAGTCGAAGTCCTAAAATTTACTTTCGAATTTTAAATGTTAATCCAAAGCACGACAATTACAATTCAAACTGATATGCTGTTCGACGTGTATATCAGCGATAGCAAGAGAGCGTTGACTATACTCGGCGATGAGCAAGTATATTTGCTACATCATCATTACGAGATCGCCTATTGAATGCGGTTCGACTCCGATAGCAGCTACAGGAAGTTAGAGAGGTGGAAGGGTCAAACGACGGATGGTTACAAGAAGACTATCAAAAGGGGGCCTGACAGTGCACAGATCAGCAACTTGCTCGTAATTGACCCCAGCTCGCCGACAAGCACCCCTTCAGTTCACTCGAGAACATGTGAACTGTGCTGTGAATCAATAGAAAATAGTACAGTTCTGTGACAAATGCAGGATATGTCTTCATGGTACTGATGGCGGGAAAAGAGTCCACCGAACACCCAATGAGCTGTTCGCACAATATTGCATCTCTCCCATTCGACGGTGGTTCGTGCATTTTTTGAGTAAGCGAGAACCGAACTTGAATTCATTCTAGAGTGCAATGCCCAATGTCAATCAAGCGGATTGACTTTCTGATGCTGTATCGAAACAATCAAGATGCAAGATCACGTAGTGTCTTTTTCGCGATTTATCCGCGAAAACTCTATTTTCATGCACGACAACGTAAGACCAAATATCGCTATTGTAGTGCGTCTGTACTTCGAGGAGGATGATGTGCCGGTTATGATGTGGCCTACTCGAACCCCAGATTTCAAACCTTTTGAACAACGGCTACGAGTCTCGGAGAGCTTCGAACTGCCATTACAAAAGAATGGGATAAGATACTGCAATATTTTGCAAACACATTTATTTATTTAATGACATATTTATTTAATGACATATTTATTTAATGATATATAGGTGAAGGTGATATCTCGTATTAGTAACAATTTTATATTTTTTATTATCCTGGCAGCGCCATCTGAAACAAGAGATTGTGCATATTTCTATTGATTTGTTGCTATTGTAATGATTTTCAAGGTCAAGGATAAGCATTAGGTGTTCTACAAAACTTAACGATGTGTACTTTAGTTTCATTTAAGTTATGTTTGCAACGTATTATTAATCTAATAATAAATTCAATCTGAAAATATAGGGGACGTGCGATTTTTTTGCTCTCATCGGTATATGTGTCAATTATAAAAATATAAGAGACTCTATTGAAGCGTGTCTATTTTGTCCATCTGGATAAGTAAGAGAACCAATTCGATAATATCTATCTGCTTAGGCATCTATCAAAACACTTACTGTGGCGATGTAAAAATTCATTCTCTCTTCCAGAAAAGTTGAAGGAACAATTTTTCCTCTTCTTTATATAGTTAGGTATAGGATTGTTGCAGTCAATTCGAACCATTTCCTATACTCGTAAACCACAAGATTTTAAAAATCATAATATCTTAAAAACTTTCCCGTTTCAAAATCATATAAGGTATAAAAGATTGACCCAGATTCTTTGATATATATGCATATATTTTTAATAATATTTTTTGCAGTGTAACAGAGATCATGAGAACGAAGCTAAAGATTACGAGAAATAAATTTACTCATCTATTTGCATATCAATACTTTCTCAACATACTAATATTAGTTTAGAAAAACAGTTTCCCATTCTCACTAATTATTTAATAACTACATGAAATTCATAAAAAGACAATAACAGAAACTTTAAACTAACGTTAAATATTGTCATTTATTCAATATGAAAAATCAAACGAATAACTGAGAAAAATCGAGTCGAGGTAAGTAATAATTTGTTGTATACTGTATTTCCGTTTACATATTTGTATATTTAATTCCATCGTCTGTAGATTCCATGTTTGATTTATCCAAGACCATTCATCCGTTTATGTTTGCTTATGCTTGCGCTTATCCATCATTCCCGCCGCCCATTTATGTACCCGTTTGTCCGTCCTTCCGACTATAGCATATACAATGTTAATCATCTCACACGACACCTGAGACAAGGTAATCGTATTATTTCCTATATGTCCGTCCATCCGTCCGCCTACTTGTGGGGCCGTTCTCAAGAAATCTCTCTGAAAATTCGAGTCAAGCAATCACACAAAAAACACTGAACTCTCCGAAACGATATTCCTAGTAATCGAAACAGCTCCATTTACACAACTATATAAAGAAGAAGTGTACCAAAAGAGATACCTTAATACGAAATCTACATATTTCATAATTTTAAAATTAAGTATTTCATATTTATAAAAATGATCGATTTGAATCTTTCCGAATTGCACTCCACTCCAAGAATTTTCGTGACTTTACCGTTACATATGTATATATGTATATAAATACTACGAAAATATCATCGCTTGATCTCATTCATTGAAAATAAGATTACATGGAAAGCTTACATGGAATTTATGTCAAATAGAAATTTTTTTTATGCATTTCTTAAAGTTTCTGTCTTCACTAAAAGTGACTCATCAGTGATTCTTCATCCTTGCCAATAATTTTATAATGAAAATCTTCCGAGTTGTCAGTTCTAACGTAAATCTGCCCGAATGCATATTCAATAAAAGCAGAAATGTTTATGTCCTCACACCGGCGTATACTAAAAAAACAATTTCAAAAATTACACCCAGACCCTTTTATTTTCGCTTTTCCTCTTCGACTATAATAGATAAACATCGATTCTAAATTTTTGAACGAAACCTTCAATTTTACAGAATGCTTCTAAAGATCATGGTTTGACTGACGTAAAGATAATTTTCGCAATTTTATTGAATTCGCTAATTTTCTACAGTTAAGTGACGAACTTCAGCGAGTTGAAGAAACGTGAAAACCAAGTAGAAATTTTCTGTTTGTAACGGATTATCCAATGTTTGAGTTTTACATAACGAAAATAGGATCATTTTAAGATCAAATTTCTTTTAATTTATTTTACAAAACAGTTTTATGCTCATAATTTGCAACTTGAGGCAGGCAAACAAACAGATTTAATTGAATCCAGTACCTATGCTAATCAAGTTTTCAATACATATTTCAATTGTTACGGATATATATATAAATCGTAGAGATATTTATGAAAGAAATTGTTTTCGTGTTATGACGCGTTTTCCATTTCCCATATCTAATATATTTGACAAAGTGATTAGTATGAATTGCATAATTTTCTTTATGAGAGAATAACGAAACTTTTTTTCTCGCATGTATATCTTGTATCCTTTTTGGAGTAAAAGTGATTTTCTATGAACGCAATTGTTGAAATGAAAAAGTAAAATATTTTTTGCCGATTGTCATAACGATACGTAAAATACATATAACTGAGTAACATATTATCGGTCACTGTCAGGATCATAGTCGCATTTTTACATTTTTATATGACGTCACATTTATGTACATTCTATACAAATCGTAAGATATGGGCTCTCTGCAAACAAATTAACTTATACTTAACAAGTCTACTCGCTTAAAAAAATTCTTTATCATAGAAATCTATTAATTTTTAAACTGACTTTTTTTTCTTTCTATACGAACATTTGTAATTGCGATTGTAAAACAAATGAATTTTATTTTCTAACTGATTTGATATATTATACAGTCGTAATTCAAACTATATAGCGATTGTGGGTATGAATTATTTCAAAATTTATTTAACGTTCATGGAAAATTCAGTGTGTTGATCGCCGTTGGCAGAAGTTAACGTGTTGTCTTCTTTCTCCACAAATCTATCGCTATTAATTTTTATCCTTAATCGAATAAAGGCAAAAAAAAAAAAAAAAAAAAAAAGATTATTTTTAAAATTTAAAAGTGAACGAAATTTCGAAATCAATTTAAATTGTCTTAAAGCAGTTCGATGAGAGATTACTAAAAAAGAAACGAAAAAATAGGAAAAAAAAAACACACACACACACAAACGAAAATGACAGAGCTGGGTATGTATATACAATGTATCTTTCGAAAATTTCTTCAAAAATATTATGTTTACTCGCAATGTACCCGCTATAACTTCGTAATTGCGTTTACGTAAAAGAAATTCAGCGGAATAAACTATAAGCGAATATTGAAAAATTACTTCACCGATTGGAAAGCAAAAAATAGCTTAAAAAGATGCAATAACATCTTAAACGTAGCTTTATAAGCCACTTTACTAAAAGTGCTATCTATAGTTGTTCATATATACGCACTACAGTCATTCAACATGAACAGTTAAGTAGATTTATTCAAGCCTGTCAAGCCATGCATCCTTCTTTACCAACTAATCTGAAAGCTAGATTTGAATTCGATTTTAGTCTATATGGTAGGTTTTTATTTCGTGTACTTGCGTACCTTATTCTTACTGTACGCATTACGCTTTCTGTAACGCACTCATAGGCAAATGTTACCTTTTGCTTCTATTATTATAGCCGCCACAAAAAGATATAAGAGAAGGAAACGCACGCACTTAGGCAGGGTACATAGCGTAATCGATTTAGCGATTCGCTCCTACCAATCGACGATGTAAAAGCTCGCCAACAATTCGTAAGATTCGAAAAAATTAAATATTTATCTTTAAGAGACTCTATAATAATCTCTCTTCTCTTATGCTATGCTATGCTCCTCGAGTTTAGTCATGTATCCTCCAGTTAAGGCCTACATTTGACAAACGTGCTTATGTGCGAAGAGTTTTTTGGCGGTAACTGTTACGTTACATTTATAAATTTAAATTCTTCGATGGAATTAAAAAATGAAGGGAAAAAAAAAACAAAACAAAATGTAATCATGCTAAATACGGAATATAAATTCATTATGGTTTTCGACAACTTAAGTGACTGTTGCTAATGTGTACTGTATACCGTACGTTACGAAGAGAAAAAAAAGAGAGCAAACATACATCTAACATGAATTAATTAAATCCTTAATAATTATAAATTTTTCACATTCTATTCACTTCAATAAATATGTGGGTCATGGGACTTAGGCGACAAGGTAGCAACAGATAAACATATGTTCTCTATTTTATACTTATCTTTATCTTAACTTCATTTAGTTCAAGATTGATAAATTTAACATTTTCACTTTCAGTTGCAAAGACTCGAAACTACTTTCTTCAACAGTTTTATTAAATCACTTTCGATGTATGATTTACGATCTAAACTATTAAAGATAATTGTATATAAGTTGTAAAATTTTTTAATTTTTTCCTCTCTTTATATACTTGAATGAACTTTCAACTCATTTCCATTACGCATTAGTAAATATTGATTCATCTTTGAATCGTTTAGTGACAATGTTATTCTTTCCTCCGTTAAAACTTGAAAAAAAAAAAAATACTTAAAAGTGATTTAACTGAATTAGCATATGTTCTTTTTAATCAGCTCATAATAATTGCTTGTTAATGTCAACGTAAATCTATCCCCATTTACTCTTAGTTAACATTGACAATTAAAAAGGTAAACATGGATTTGATACCCACATATGTTATTTACTGTTCAAATACATATCTTCGTTTACCTTCATATGCAGTGGCGAGCAAAATTGGATTCATATAATATTGAAAAATACGTTAAATTCATAAAATTCCTATTCTGATCGCAGTAAAGAAAAAAATGTCATATAAAACATTAATCTTTACTTGTCGTCTAATTAACTGTAGAAAATATAACAAAATACAATTCGTGAATAAGTAAATAAGAGTAAGCTACAAACAATCAAACAATAATAAAAAATGCGTTTATCCTGTTTTCCTGTTTTCCGTTTCGTTACTATGTTGTTAAAGCTCCGTTCATTTTTAAGTTCTTTAGGGGACTTATCGCAAATTCCTTTTAATATTAAAGTTGCATTGTTACAGTGCATATCCGACAAAAAGTTATCAATATTTTTTGTAATTGTTTTATAATGTTGATATAAAAAAAAAAAAAAAAAAAAAAAGATGGAAAAAAGTCAAAAATACCATAGTCGCCAAATTTGAAAAGGCATGTACTCTTCAAACAGTGCTTTTAGCTATAAAAAACGATATTTAAAACAATTA